AAACCATGTTGAAATTGTTTTATAGTGAGGGAAATTACAAAGATCATGAAATCTTTGGTTTTGTAGCCCTTTTCACTACAGACAAAACGTGAATGAGTTTAGCCATGTACTTATAATGGAGGTTTTTTGTCCTTTAATTTTTTTGAAAAATTTGATTTGGTTTATTCTTATAAATGGAGACAACGAGAATCGAAACTTTGTCCAATTAGTTAGCATATATATTTCACAAAAGTTATCTATGACTCTACCTTGTAATGCACGAATTAAATGACATTTGAAAAATTATTATAGCCTTTGATATATGAAAAAGTGTGGATGGTCATGTAGTTGAACATTTTCAATTGACCTTGAAATAATGTTGTTTTGGGATAAGGTTTGAATTAAAGTTGTGTGTGCATATATAACTTTATTTAATACTATTTTTAATAGTAGTAGTTTCCAAATAATCATTATTGCGTTCAACTTAAAAAAAAGTCAAATACCAATTTTGACAAAAAGAAGAAAAAGAACTTCTAAGATTTCGACTCTTTGTTTGAAAGTAAATAAGTTAAAGTCACGAGTTGTTGCTGCCTTTCCATCCTTCTATAAAAGGCAGAGCATTTGATAGGAAGGCTTCTATCACCGAGAGAATGCCAAGAGGGATTGCAAAGATTCATGCAAAATCAGGGCACATCAAGCAAAGGGAACTTGAAAATAATCCAATTTGCTCAATTCCATTTTATACACAATCCGTATATTTTTTTTCTGTTGATTTCTAGCTAATTTCTTCCATACCTTTTCATTCTTTCCCCAGAAAAGAACAGGCATGAGGAGGCTGAAAGGAGGCAAGGCGCCGAAAAGGTTAGTCTGAGAAAAACGGCACAAACAGAGCTACCCATGTTTCCTTTGGTTTCTTCTTCTTTATTTTTTTTTTTCTTTCGGTTACCATATTTGTTAATGTTAATATAATCACATCACTCTCTTGTGAATTCTGAGTAGTGATCCAAGTATAAATTTTGATTTAAATGGAAAAAAAATTTTAGTTTACAACATCAGATCATACTTGGTTAATCTTTATTATAAATAACAAGAGGTTAAATCCTAAACTACCTATTTTTATAATTATTTTTCTCAAATCAATGGAGGAAAATAAAACACACATCCTTTTCTCCATTGATTTGCATTTCCATAACTCCACTTTTCTCTTTCAGGTCACATGGGCGTCGAGGCAGGAAGAACTTTCCATTTTCGAGCAGGGAAACCAGTAGTCTCGGTAAGATTAAGTTCTTCGTCCAACATCCTAAAAAATTATTGATATTTTCTATAAGGATTACTTGTTTCAATATACACTCACAATAATCCTTAATAAATATCTCTTGAGGTTTTAATTAATTGTAAAAGAGGCACGTCCTTGAGGGGGAAATAGCATGGTCTAGGGGCCCAAAATAATTGTGATGTCTTTTGTCTTCTCTCAAATAATGACCTACTAAACTTTGAGTTTTGTTGATACTTTTTATATAGTTAAATATTAATATTTATATTTGTGGTACCTAGACTACCTACGAAACATGGTCAATGGAGGATGTGTATCTCAAAAGAATTCTCTTACCCTTTGTAGTTGAAAGACAAAGGCATGTAACTTTTTATTTTGGTAATAGAAAACCCAATAAAGTAATTATTTAGTTTTGATTATTCCTTAGCTACAATTCTTTACTGAAGCAATTATGTTTTCTGTCTGACTCAAATTTTTATTTGCTGGCCGTTTGCAAACAAATTAAAGGAAAGAGCCCCAGAGTTGCAAACAAATCCAGGCTCCTGCAGGTTGAGGTGATGGAAGCCGGATTGGCAAACATGGTAGTGCAGATGAGTGACTCGGCTAAGTGGCTAATGGCAGCAAGAGAAGCAGCCGACCTGACCGAGTCAGAATTCGCACTGCTCATCAGGAGAAGAAATAACCTGGTGGATAACCTGATTAGGAGAAAAAATGAGCTTTTGAAAATGAAGGGAGTTGAAGCTTTCCTGATGCTTAAGCTGGGTTTCCATTGAATTGGAGAATTAAGTGAATTAACCTTATTTTAAAATGTACTTCAGCTTGATGGATAAAATTAATAACTGCCAGATTGCTAGAGACTTGACTTGTGTTTCATGAAATCTGTGTTTGGTTTTGCTGCTGTATCATAGTGTGCCAAATTTCTAAAGTTTAGGCATTAACATAGGAACATGTTATAACCAAAGCTCCACTGCTCAAACATTTAAAAAAAAAAAAAGAAAAAGACCTTTGCGTCATTGAGGGAGGGCTCCCAAAGAAGGCGAGGATCTGAGGCATTGGCAAATAAGGAGAGCAAAGCTAACAGAAAAAAAATGCTAATGCTACTAGGAATTGAGCACCTTTCGTTGTTACAGCCTATAAGTAAACTTTCTAGCTTAATTTTTCGTAGTTTTATTACTTGATGAGGTTTCAGAATTCCTGAATAAGAGCATGGCAATTTTCGTTGACAAGACAAGCATTGTATTCTTCAAGCCCAAGCATGATGTGCATATGTGTCTGTGAAAGCCCTGCCCAATTCCAGACGGGCCTACACCGAGTAACCAAAGAGGCCGGAAAAAGCTTTAACTATAATTGGGATCGACGTTCTTTGAGATAAACTGATTCTCTAGGGCTTCATCTAAGACCCATCTGATCTTCACTCAATGGCTTGCACTTTGAACATTAAAAAATACAAAATAAACAGCTTTTGTTATGTTCACGCCTTCTTTTGTTTGGAGCAAAATGCGGGTCCCACAACTTCTATTCCCAAAAGGGAAAAGCATCACTTGCTCTTAGTCAAAAAAAGAGGCTTGGAAATAACTTCTCATATTTATAAATACGAGAAGCTTTTGCATGCCCGTCTGCATATCCCTCTCTCTTTCTCTGTCCCTGAAATCGGAACCGTATTTCGAGGTTCAGTTCTTGCTGGATTATGAGATCCCCCTTTTTTTTGGGTGTCAAATCTTGTTTACACCGAAAAGAAGGGAGACAACGTTATCTTACGCAAATTAAGAGTTGAAGCTGTGGTGTTAATTGGTTGAAGATTAGTGTCTGCAGGTGGATATTTTAAGCTATGTCCGCCCTGAATAAGGCCTTTTTAGTGTGGTCCTGGCAAATACATTTCGGGTTGCCCTGTTAGCGGCTGCTAACACTGGTCGGAGTGTCGGCATTCAATTTTTATATCGGGTTTGTCTCTACCCGAGATCTTGTATATATGCTCGGTCAATATTGAGACCAAGCCATCTCTAGGAACCAATTATAATATGGATCGGTGGAAAAACAGAAATATGAACTTTTATGAACATAATTATATGTTCTTCACTAGTACAAAATTTTCAAGACAAGCCCTGCCCATCCTTACCCTCATCTTTTTGATCTTCCAATTTGACTATCTAAGTGTTATTTATTTATTTATTTCGTAGATAGGGTTATCTTGATGTCAATATCGTGCGGAAACACTCAAATCACTGTGGACTTGTTCAGGTATTTGCCTTATGTTATAAATATATGATGCTTTATTAATATCTAAATGTTTTCAAATTGTAATAAAAAAGACTAAAGATTAGAAATCCAGTAACTTTCAGCTTAGGAACCCGTCAATGGGCGGTTTTAATTATGATTTGTCAATTGTCGCAAGCAGTCGGCCCATGTTCGGCAGACTTGTGGAAATGGCGCACGATGAATCAGTCGAGGTAGCCGCCTCGTTAATGCCAATGACAGATCATCTCCCTCTAGATTAGATGAGACTGCCTCAATCAAAAGATAAGATAAAAAACTTTCTAAGAATTCAGTGTGTAATTGGAAGGAAAAAATATTGTTTCTGTGCGCGTCACGGACTGCATCAGATTAGATAGGGCTAAATCCGTCCATTGCTCATTGGATCTAGCCAAGCAGGCCGTTGCCCACGTTAACAGGCTAGATTTGGATTTCGCTTGAGTCGACAGGATGAGTTTGATTGGCTTTGCCACAAAATTAATTATTCTTATAATAGTATGTACATGTATGTATGATAATAGTATGTGCATGCATGCATAATCAGGAATTAGTCAAAATTGCTCGGTCAAGTATGTGTAAATGGATTTTGAGGGATGGGAAAAGAAATCTGGTGTGATATATCCTTAGGTGAAAACAGTAAAGAATAAACCCAAAGGTAAACATGTGTCCAAAAGAAAATGTCTTTGAAAAATCAGATAGCATTGCAATTAAACTGTGAAGCAATCAAATCTAAAGGTTTTAACTCATTGAGCAAAAATGGGGTCAAGAGAGCACACTCGTAAATTTGACCTTTCGAACTTTGCTTTTGTATAGGAATTTAAATATAAAAATTAGATTTTATTTTATCGGCTTATTATCATACATTAGAAACCAATGATGATCATCCTACTATTTGTTTAAATGATATATATGAACTTTAGTGGTTGACCCAACAACCCGGAACCCAACTTGCACCGGTTTCTCTCTATAAGGAAAACCCATCCCCAGCTTCGCCTCAGCTGGATGTTTCGATGAAAACAAAGAGAGCAAAAACGATTTCACTCAAACCATCAACCTCAATTAGTTGGCTTCTACCCATGATTTCTTTGCCTAGCTCGTCCGTGGCTCACTATTTAGTTTGGTTTAGGGAACCAAAAAAACCCGAATTAGAACCTTTGGTTTCAATTTGGCTTTTAAACATTTTGACCAAACTGAAAACTGAATTTTTGTAGTAAAAGTAAAGGCTTATAATATTTTGGTATATATAATATAAAATTTATTTGTATTTTATTAGTAATATATTTATTTTGTGTTTGTAACCGTATTGTTGGGATTAATTTTTGCTTATGTTACTAGTAGCTTATTTAAATTCTTGTCTTGTATTTAATTGAACTGTTGGTATTTGACTTGATCTATATGGGCCATTTTAACTAATTTGAGTTTTAAGTTTTAGTAGAAATTTTTTAGAGGTCAAAGCGTCTGTATTATGATCCCTTTACTTAAAATTGATTAATTTAATTATGTATTTTAAGATTTTGTACAATCAAGTTTCTCTCCTTAACGTCTTTTAAATTGACTATTAATGGTGTTGATATGTGAGATTATGTTGATGTGACAATGATCACATGATAGGCTCGATTTTTTTTTTTGCAAAAATATTTTTTTGCATATTTATTTTTTTATGTCATGTATTAAGATTAAATTAAATAAAAATATAGAGTGCATGAATTACATTCAATAAAATTGTAAAGTATAATGATTAAATTGAACAAAATGAAAGTACAATGACTAAATTAATTAATGGAGTGCCTAAAATTAATGTTTATATTGACAGCAAGATATTAGTGTATCAATTAATTATTCTTGTTTGGTTTTTGTTCAAATATGATTTCATTTAATCTTTGGGATAATTTAAGTCCGACCCACCACTTGCGAAAGTTTTTGGTTGTCTTGCCTCGTGCTGCTAATTGTTTGTTGAGCAGCTCTTATTTTTTGTAAGTGTATAGGGTCACTTTTTACCAAAATTAGTTTTCTTATGTCAAGAGGACTCTTTTACCACTCTACTTCAAGACTTGTTGTGACATTTTAATTATTGGCTCAAATAAATAAATTATTTTTTTAAAAAAAAATCCAACCCATCGCGTACACGATCTTCAATTTAATTATATACTTCCAAAGAAGGAATTGGGAATGTAGATTGGTGTTATTTTGTTTTATTATCCAAGCTATAATACTAATAGAAGTGTTTATGGGTAGGGGTGTGCATGGGTCGGTTTCGGGTCGATTTTTCGTCAAAACCGACTAAAAATTTTTGGGATATAACCGACCGAACTGCAATGATATAAAGTCGATTTCGGTCGGTTTTTGATGATGAAATCAATTGGTTGACTTAAGTTGACTTGGGTTAAAATGGATTGAATTGAACTATGATTTATGGGCTAAAATGGTTAAAGATTAATGGCTAAAATGACTCGTGGGAGACTGGGTTAGAGGGGGCAGGCCCAGGCCGTCAGGGGGGAATCGAGACTCATGGGAGGGGGGGCAGGGGGGAATCGGGACTTGTGGGAAAGGGGCCGGGGGGAATCGGTAGGAGTGGGAGGGGGGGCCAGGGGAATCAAGTCGGGTTTCGTCGGAGGGGGGCTGGGAGCCTGGGAAAGGGGACCGGCCGCAGGGAAATCTTTCAATAAAACACAACAATCAGGAGTGGGGGGGGGGGGGGTCGGGGAAAATAGTAAGGGGCGGGCCATGGGTAGCCGGGGGGGGGCTCGGTTTCTGGTCGGTTCGGGGGAAAGGATTCCCCCTGACGACCGAGCGGATCAACCAACGAGGCCGATCGAGCAATACAACCCGATTGTGTTTTTTTATTTTTCTTTTTGGTTGCAAAAACAACTATCGGTTGTAACCGTCGATTACAATAACCGACGGCTGCGGTCGGTTGGACGGTTCCAACCGACCGTTGCCCACTGCTATTTATGGGATAATACTAATCAAGTTGAGTCAGGCTTATTGAATCTCTCTCTTTTAATGTCAAATTTAGGTTTCGTACAGTTTGTCATTTAGTTATTTTATATTAAAAATAAAATATTATTTTTATATTAATTTTTAATATTTTTAATATTAAAATAAAAATATGATATTATTAATTAATATAAAAATATTTAATTGAGCCGACTCAAACTTAAAAGTTCATGTCCAACTTGACCCAAATTAAATTGGGTTCATGGGCCTGGGTGGATAATCTGGCCCTTGCACACCTCTGATAACACAGTTCTTTATTATCTTTTTGTGTGCAACTGATAACACACTCCTTTATGGTATTTTTGCTAATACTATTTATGGTAGAATTAAAAAATATATTAAACAAAGAAAAAGCCTTATAATCATAAATTTACAATTATAAATCGTTGCGCTCTTCAAAATTAAATCTGATTTTGTCACAGCAACCAGGTATTACTAATTGTAAAGTATAGAAAAGATCAACAAGGGCATTTTCTTCAAATATACTAATCCGATTATATTTGTAACTTCAATCTGTATACAGCTCAAATGGTTCCCCTTCAAGAAGAGAGAAACAGAAATGTCCAACTTATTCCTCCTCTAATGGCATGAAAATAGGTGAGTTTTATTCTTAAATTGAGAACTTGAAGAGATGAATTGTATCAGATAATTTTGAGTTTTGTTTTCTCATATATCTATATATAATATATAATTTCAGTTTAAAGTCATTTTCTTTTGAAATCAAATTGGCTTAAAATCAATGGGATTCTAGTTCCATTTTCTTCCGTATTTTTGTATTCAGGTTTGAATGATTTCAGATTTAAATCATTCTGGATAGGTTATAGTTGGTAAAATATTTAATAAATGTGTTGGGCAGGTTTAATTTCAAATTCCAATTTCTCTTTGTTTTCTTATTGCTTTTTTGGTTTTCCACTTTTACGTTAAATGCTTCCATTGATATTGTTTTATTCAGCATTGAAATATACTTAACCAAAAGCAAAACTCTATTTATCTACTTTTATACTTCATGAAAAAAATAAAAAATAAAGATTAAAGCGCAGACCTCGATTGCACCTTTTTTTCTCTCTTCTTAATCAATTATGTAAAACATGTATCATGACTGTGTACACAGAAAAGCGGCCAGCAGGAGAAGAAATCATTGCCCAATCAAAAAGGAGCACCTCTCTGCCCAATTCAGGCTCTAAGGTGTTGTATGACTATATTTATTTCTGAGCCTCCAACTTGTTAGAACATTTTCTTAAACTATAAAATTTATTTATGGTGTTTGAACCTTTCATTTGCCTACCCTAGCAGAAAGCGAAGAAGAGCCTAAAGAGAATGAAAGTTGAAGTAGCAGAGAAGAAAGGGGAGACAAGGTTGATGATGGAGTTGCTAAAGGAAGAAGCAAAAGCAAAGGGGATTTCAGTTGAAAAGATTCAGACTGATATTGAGAGAATGAAGAGAGAAAATGTGCTAAATCTCGAGAAGGATGAATGCACCCGACTATTTATTAATCATATGCTGGTTATCTTTGTAGCCGAGGACAACGTCCTCATGCTTGATTAATTATCGACTTCAACTATTGGACGAATAAAAGTTCGTGTTTATCAAGCAGTATACAAAAAAACACCATGTGCTGCTTGATAAGGATCTATGAAAACTTTCGACTTTGTTTCTCTTGAAGACCGTGTTTGCTGCTGCATAATAAAAGTCCATCTGTTTGGGTCTCCATTTCTGCTGCTTTTTCTTTTCCATGACAAAACATTATTGCTCCTACTGATCACCCAACCTTAAATTTTGACTTGAAACAATTTTCTTTTTTGCACTTAGCTTAGCTAAATTAGTAAAAAGAACTCGAATTCAATTATTAAAGCAAACAAATAGCAAAAATCGGAGTGTTGCACAAGGCAGCCGGTTCAAAGAATGGGCTACAGCAAATCAATCAGTAGATTAACCAAGCAACAGGCTTATAATTGTAATTGTGGTTCAATATCAACAATGTCGGCTTTTTTTACAGGCCATTGCTATGGAATTTGCTTGCTAGTTGCTACTTACTTGCTTAGGACATGGGGCCCAACTCACTTAACAAGCAGCTTAAGTTTGAGTTCAGTTGGGTGTGTCAGGGCCGGCGTGGTGGCTCATACCATGGGCGTGCCTTGAGAAACTCAATGGGCTATAGCAAGCTACGGTGACGTTTCACCTAATTTTGTGAAACAATTTGTGGACCAAGTCTCTTAGATAAACTCGAAGGCAACACCTTTTCAGCGTTGTTATGTTCACGGCCCTCACAACCGGGTCCCACGCCTCCCTTTCCAGAAGGTCGTGCTCTTAGTCTTAAGAGAGGCGCGCAAATAACTTCCCCAACTATATATTCGGGGTGTGCATGGGAGTTGGTCTTGCAAGGGTGTCGGTCTTGCCCGAGGGCCTCAAAGATATCTCCACTCTCTCTTTTTCTCAGTCTCTGTCATTGTGTCCAAGGCTAAGTGCGCCTTATTTAGACGCTCAATTCTTTCTAAGATGGTGAGATTCCTCTTTCAGCTTCAGCAATTGTAGTTTGGTTTCAGTACTATTAGTAGTTACAATAAGTACCCTATAGGCACTTATCTTCTTCACTTACTGAACGAGAAAAATAAGTGAAAAATAGTATTTTCCACAATAGAAATTTTTTTCCTGGTCGAAGTTTAGTGTCTGCAGGTGGATATATAAACTAAGGTTAAGCTATGTTCGCCAAAAATAAGGTTCCGGGTTGTTGCTGGTTACCAGCGACTATCCTGGCTTGAGCATCAGCATTCGCTCTCCAGCTTTGCTTTGGTCAAATTTAAGACCAATTCCAGGGATGGAAACCTATCTTTTGCCTTGATAGATCTTGAAGATATAAAATTTGTACTACTTTTATAGTTATCTTTATATGTCTCTTAGTACTTGTATTTTTTGAGCTACGGTACAACATATTCATAGGGGTAGCATAGGCGTTCGCTTATTTGTATATATAGCCACAGTCCGGTACAAGATAAGCCTAGGAGTGGCATACACTCTCGCTTATATATATATATATATATATATATATATATATATATATGGTTACGGATTTTCCTAGCAAGTCATTTTGATCGCGATAACAATGCGTCGGAGATTTGTTATAATTCGTAACCATTCTCTACTTTCTTTTTTAAATGTCTTTTTTGATAAATTGTTTAAGATATTGTAAGATAGATTCCACTTCTAAGACTTTAATTGTTTAATAAGGTGGCCGGCTTGTTTGCCGTTACCCAACTTCTACCCTAGTAGGAGCATCAGCATGCGATTTTCACTCCCTCCTTGTCCCGAGCCAACATCTGATGATGGGTTGGATGATCCCATCAGACCAAATGGCTGAATCAAGAGATATGCTTTGGTCAAATTTATGGCCAGGCCATCGGACAGAAACCTAACGATTGGCTCCATGGAATTCGAGGGATATTAACATTTACTTGGTTATGTTTAGGATTATGTGTTTCTAACCGAGCTACCTAGCCCCGTCTTGACCTTGGATGATAACCATCTTGGCGGCCCTACTGGCTTTTACACCGTTCTGTTTTTTGCCCTTTGAAAATTTTTTCTGTTTTCTTTCCCGCCATGCCATAAAACTTTGGATCCATTCTTGCGTTATATATACACACACACATATATATGTATGATATATATTCGTTTAGGATAAGATTATCTTCATGAATTATTTTGTTCTTTAGAGAAAGAGAGAAATTCCGTTGGAAAGGAGATATGAGTATGAAAGCAATCCAGTGTGGTGGAGTTCATATTTCTTTCCTTTCGAAAAGAGAAAAAAAAAAGGTATTGGTGGGGTAACCTGGGTGGAGGACCCTGAATGGAATTTAAACTCATAAATTGTTACTTCTGGTTGATTCAGTTCACTCATACGAGCTAAGACAGGAAGCCAATAACCTGTCTCATGGTTTAGTTAGGATTGAGTGCAATAAGGATTGTCAGAGTTACGTGAGGATCATTCCCTAAACTTTTACGTAATCTGGAGTTTCTTTGATTGTTCATAAAGCATTTTAAAAGTTAAAAAAAAAATTGACTGATTTAATTTTAATTAATAAATACATGAAACTGATTTTGTCATCTTGTTATCTAGTCGGATTCAAGTCAAGTTTGAGCATTAGGTTTTATTTATTTTTTGAAATAAATTTAGAGTTAATTTTTAAATGAATACAAGTAGTGTGGTTTTTAATCAATCATAGGATTCTGGTGATGTCAATAATCGTAAGCACCCCTTCAATACCCTTGGGACTTAAGCAAATATGTGCCCAATAGTGATGATCCATGTCACTGCTTACAATATAAATTGATGATATCAATTTGTTACTTACAATTATTTGTTTTACCTCAATGCATTACCCTTCAGCACAAGAAAGAAAAAACTGAATAATAAAGGAAGCAAGTGGCTTGTAAGAGATTAGTCGATGCCATTGATTCTTGTCCATGGACATAAAGTTCACCGGACGTTAAAATTGGAATGAAAAAGACTCTGTAGCTTTCTGCCGACATGAGGAAAAAGAGTCTACGAAGAAGATAAGGAAAAAGAACCATTAAGAGAAAAGTTACTTCCAATGGACGGTTATGATTTCGCAAGTAATCGAACGATATCGTCAGACTTGAGCAAGTGATCGATCGACTAGAAGAGGTTCAGGCCGACGACTTTGCATCTCTTCTCTGCATCTGAAGAACAACTGTAACATTAGATGAAGCGTACTTGCTTCTTTCTTCTTAACTTATGCTGACATATTTTGTTGGACCTACCCACCAATCTTTTTGACCAACTGCCGCCTTTTTGCTTTTTTGTTTTTTTAATATTATGGCAAGTTTGATAGGCTTTATCTTTTCTGTGACATCTACGTGTACGTATATGTAAACTGTGAATTTTAAAATTTTATCTCCAATATGTAAAGTATTAATCTAACTTATAATATAGTAAAAGATATATCAATTTGTCAAGTCTAAGATATAAATTTCTAATTTATGAAAAAAAATTAATCATTAAATAAAAATACCATGTCATTTAAACTATCATCTACTATCAAAATTGTGAAAAACCATCATGTTATTTCTGATTAGAAATGCATCAGCTAAATTAACTTCTTTTTTTGTAAATTTTAGGTGCAATTTTTTTTAGATGATCATACACGACATAAATTGGTTCACGGATCTACACCATGCCACTATGGCAATGGCCGTGAACTCTTCAATTTAGTCAAGTACTCAAGCGAAGCTCAGCTCTCATACGTTAAGATTTTCCAATTTTGTTTTGTTTTATAGGGTTTTAAATATAATTTTTTTTAACTAACGTAATATTTAAAGTTGATGGGATCGCCCACCAATAAATATACAAAAAACTTTTTTTTTTTATGTACATGTTAAACTGTCATGGAGAAAATCCAAGTTTACTATAAAAGGCCGCTCGTGTTGTCTTTCCATTGAAGATATTCAGACACTCACAGCTTTGATTGCAGATATGAAGCAAAAGATGCTTAATTAATTAAGCAAAATATATATATATTTCTTTTCGTTAGTGTTCATCCTTTCTTTTATGTGAATTATTATTCTTAATTTTGACTTGTTATCTCAGAAGAGACGGACGCAGGTAGGCAGAAAAACTTTAAAGGCAAATCAAATGGGGGTGACTAGCGAGGAGCAACAACGTGAGCAAGAGCAAAGGTTAGAGCAGGGTGCCAAGTCTTTGAATTATACGCTTTCTTCTCCCCCAAATGCAGACACATAGATGGAAAATCGCCTTCATTAAACCAATCGGTTGCCTTGGGTTGTGTATATCTGTTGAATGATGATTTTTTTTCTACGATCTGCTTCACCTTCTTCTCGTCACTAGGGGATTCAGGGTTAAGGTGAAGCAGCTGGTAAGAGAAATCAAGCAACAAAATTAACCCAACCTTATAGTTCTCTAATTCCTTCAAGCTCAAGTTGAGGTGATAATTATAAGAAACTTTTTGTTTTGTTTTTTGAGAAAATCAATAAAAGAAACTTATATATTACCTAAATTACTATTTCAAATCCTTTCACAAAAATAAATGCTTCAAATAGCTTAAGAGCTAAAACCTAAAACTTATTCTCATGTTTTAAAGAATTACAGAGTCATATGCGATTTTACTTAATGATTATAAAAACTCTTAAAGCTAAAACCTGTTTATGTTTTTTTTTTTTGAAAAAACCCATCGTATTAACTGCCTTGTGATGTATATATGTCTTTACTTGGCTTTTTATGTTGGGACGAATGAACACAAATACATTTTTATTTTACTTAAATTTAGGAATATTATCTAAAATAGCATTTAAGCTATTTAGTAAAATTTAAATAAATTTTTATTCTTCAATTATATTTAATCAAACTCTTATATTTTTATTTTGAGTCTAATTTTATTTCTTTTTGAACCTAATAAATTATTGATTCAATAAAAATATCATTTTTTATTTTATATTATATGTCGCTAATGTGACATGTTAACATGTTATAATGAATTATGATATGACATGTTAATGTGAGTAAATAATATTTTTCAACTTCGACATCAACACCATGTGAATATAAAATAATAAAAAGTATTTTCATTAATGACAATTAATCAAATATTAATTATAAGAATTTATTTGATTCAAAATAAAAATATATTAACTTGGTTAAATGCAATATCAAAATAAAGATTTATTTCAATTTTTTAAATAATTTAAAATTTTCTTCAAGTATTATGCCACATTTACCACCTCTCTATAAAAAAAAATCCATCAAACTAGGACCATAATGGGTGATTTTCTACGTATTTCCAATGAAGTTATTCGAGTATCTATATTTCCCTTTTCTCTTACAGTTCATATGGAACCTTGTCAATAAAAGAGAAACAAGGTATTAAGAGTTTGTGCAGTAGCTTGATTTGTGGAATGCTGCCTGAAGAAATATTGGCAGATTGCAGATTGATTGGTGGTAGAAGGCTTCTGTTGTAGTCCATGAGAAAAAGGGTTTTAAGGTTTTCTTGGGTTGTTAGTCAAGAGTTTGTGCCAGAAGTTAGGTGTTTTTGTTTTAGGTTGATTGTTTTTGAACGTAATGGCACGGTTTAGAATTTCTTAAGTTGTGATCTTTGAGTAATCTTATAAGTTTTTTAAAAGTTTGGAAAGGTTCGTTTTTTAGGGTTTTAATAGCTAATGTGGAGCCATCAATTTCCATTTGAGGGGTTCATCAATCCTTTTTGTAATTTTGCTTTTATCTTTTTTCATAATTTGATTGATATGTTATTACAAGTTTTTTACTTTTAAAATTCAAAATTTGATATGATATCCAAATTATGTGAAGCTAATAAATTCGCTTTTCAAAACAGAAAATTCTCCATCTTCTTTTGGTGGCGTCGAGTGTTAATGAGACTTCTCCATTGCCAAACACCGGGCAAATTGGTTAGATTTCATCCCAATCTGTCTTTACTTTACAATTATTTGGTTGATTGAAATTTATTTTCAACTTTCAAAATATAGAAAACCAAATATTAAGCTAATCAAATAAACATATATACATCTTGACTCTACATAGAGAACAGAAATTAGGATGATAAAGAAAAAGGAGGAAAGTAGCCCAGAGTTTTAAAGAAAAAGCTACACAACTCAAGCGTACTTAAGATATATTGCTGGCTGCTCTACTCGTAATTAGGATTCTTTTGATCAATTTATTTTATGGTTAATTCTGAATTAATAATCTTGAGTTTGCCTTGCCAAAACAGAAAGCAAGGAAGACTATGAAGAAGCTAGAAGTTGAATACACAATGTGCTTGAAACAGTTGCTAATGGAAGAAGCAACAGTCATGGAAGGTGCAATTCAAGAGATGGAAACAGAACTTGCACGAATGAAGAGAAATAAAGAGATACTTTCTTCAAAGAATTAATGCGTCGAGCAGTTTATTACTTGTATGCTTGTTATATTTCAAGCTGAGGATCGCCTTATCTGAGATTCTACTGCTTCTGCAAAGCATGAGGAGAGAAGAAAATAAATACATTTGAAGACGGAATAATCATGAAGTTTTAATACTTCTAAGCTGATTCTCATAGCTGTGTGGTTCATTTCCAGTTTGCTTTGGATATTCCCATGCAAAAAAAAATTAAAATTAAAACTCTTTCATAATTCTGTACATAGTTATTTTTTTCTTTTTATTCTTCCTCAAGAGTCTTTGCTAACCAAAAAATCAATTAAGACTTAATTTAATAATTGTCATCATTATGGAAACAGATAAGGATAAAAATTCAATTCCATCCCTACTTTTAAACTTTCGTACAAGAGCATTGGTACTTTGGAACAAGAGCTGTTCAGCCCAATTCTAATCGGGCCCCGAATACATAACTTTTTTGTAGGATAAAAGAATCCTACCTATTCTCAGACAAGAAAGAAAGAAAGAAAGATAAAACTTGGCTGTCGACACATAACTTGATAAGAACTTGGTAAGTATTCCAAACAACAAGTTCTAGTTTAGTCCCGAAGTCACGCTCAAGCTAAACTCTTTCTATAAATTCAACCCATATCCTCATAGATCCCCACTCCTCTTTCCCAACACCTTCCTCCTCAATGTACCACTGTTCTTCTTTCTTTTCTTTGTACCCTGCTCCCCAATTTTGACGCTCAACTCTTTCAATTTCTTCCTCAAAATTGGTACAGTTCTTATATTAATGAAGTAGTCTTGTTTTGATGTCTGCAGGTTATATGTATATAATAAATATGGTTAAGCTGATTCCATATTTTGTTACTATATATTACTATTTGGATTTATACTTGTCACCGGAGGCTCTACATGTCCTGTTTCGAGCATGTAGATTTGGTGTTACCTGTACGTTCAGAGGAACTGAAGCAAGGTCCGATGGCAGGGATTGGACGAAAATGGCAAAACCAGAATGCCTAAAATTTCAATGCAGAAGAATTACACCAATCTTTTCTGAACTTTGATCTTTTTAACTGACATCTTCATCATCTATCCACCTTTCCAGGTTTAATTTCTTTATACATAATTAATTATTTTGACATTTTGGCTTTACTATAGGCATGGATTCTTTAACTGATCCCAAAACTTAAGTAAAGCCTGTAAGATGAAAAGGTCAAAATCAACCCGAAGCAAGAGTACATATCAAGGCAGGCAAGTAGACCTGAAGGACACTGCAATCAACCCGAAACAAGAATATATAGCTTCCCTATGCCGATTAACAAAATCTGTGATGACTTTCCTACATACAGTTTGTGCTTTTGAAAGTACTGTAAAATCATCGATTGAACCGAATCGCTTGACTAGTAGGAAAAACTTTTGTTAGGACTCTCCACTACTTTGTGATTTATAGGGGGATTGGAGGATTGGCTTTAAGGCCTTTTTTGTTTTAGTGATTCCCTTGGTTCTTTGTAGCTCCATGGGGAAAAAGTGGAAAAACAAGTAGCTATTAGCCTCTTTTATCTTCTATTAAAGTATGTTTTGGTGAAGTATTGTTTATTAATATAATATAATGATGAATTTCTTTGTCACCATTCAATCTTTGTTAGCGCACGTCAAAACTTTACTAGTCGCCAGTTTGGGCTCAATGCAAGTCGAGGATTGGCAGCAATGAGGTCAGCAACCGGGCGATGAGCAATTGAGAAGTTGCACTGCGACGGTCATAATATTATAATATTATATGATAGAACATATTAATAGGTTATAATATTATAATATTATAATATATTTTATCATTATATATCACATAACAATAATAAACATATTAATATATTATAATAAATATAAAAATTAATATATATATTATTCATCTACTTTATTTACAAAACCTATAATTGTAATTCGTATATATGTTGCTACATATATAAAAATAATATTTTATGGTATTTAACAAATTTTTAATTTGGTTAACTGTTGCTACTTGCTATATAGATGTTTGGAATTTTTATCTTCGTTTTAATAAGTTACCTAGGTTTAATTTAAGTAATACCTTCTTTTTTTTTGCAAATGAATTACTTGACAACGTTTTTTTTTTCCATTTTTTTAGTATATTTAGCCAATGAAATTGTCCCTTCGTGGCGAAGTTACCAAGATAGTGCGTATATTTATGCGTCAGCCTGACTCTCCCAAACAATTACAAAATCCTTTTGCTTTTTTCTTCTACTACTAGCCTTCGATCAGCGTAACTCTGTCGTGGATCGTTCGATCCGCACGGTCGAGAAGCAGTGCATACTCTAATACAACCTATAAAATCGAAGATCCTTTTTCCCTTTTAGCTTTAATCTAATCAAGTAATCCTACAAGAACGGAAACATTTCTTGCTTTTTTGGGCTAAAACTCTCTCTCAAATGGCGGTTTTTTCCTTTCACCGTTTCGGGCTGACTCGCTACCAAAACATGGTTAGATTACTCTCTCTTCGATTTCAGTTAGATTACTTTTCTTTCTCTGTTTATCATTCTATTGATCCAAAAAAGGTTGAACTTTTATGAATTAAAAGCTTTGCAGCTGAAATTAAACTCTCATGGTTTTGAAAATTGCTTGTCCAAACAGGGTAGTCGCTTGAGGGCTATGAGAGTGAGACTGGCGAAGAAGAGAAGGGCTATCAAGCGTATGAGACAGTCGCTAAGTGCTCTGCAAATTGCAGCTGAACAGATTGAGCGAGATCTGATATTTGCAGCTGAACAGATTGACCGACGGAACGAGCGAATTGTTGCAGAGAATTCTCTCGTTGATCGATTGGTTTACGATCTTCTGGCTGAGATTGAAAACGATCCTTTAATCAGGAGCGCTGTTGAAGCAATCCGTACTCAGAATCTTGATGGAAGGAACATTATTATAAACCAAGCTCCACCTCCCCGCGGCAGGCGGCGGCGCCGATGACGGTCGTAAGTGGTGTGATGGTGGGCTTTATTACTCTAGAGGTGGTGGTGGAGCTTAAGGTTTTATGGGTTTTTTTTTCCCATAACCCCACCCCTCCTATCTTAAAAGCATTATTCAAATTTGAGAATTTATCTTGTTTTTTTGTTTTTTATTTATACCATAATCAAGCCCGCCCTGGCTTCTACAATTACTGCTTTAATGATTATATGTAATTACGGATTATGAATTTATGGCTTTTTAAAAGTACTGTTAATTATTGGGACTTGTTTATTATTACTTATACTTGGCTCTAAATGGAATACCTACTGCCTTGTTTGGTTTATATATTGACTTAATTGAAAGTCATTTAAGTAGAGGTTTAATATAGTTGTACTCATTTGATTTAACTATATGCATGATGCTAAAGGAATACAAAGCTTTTGATTGCCTTAGTTGATGAGAATGAAATTTTTGTTCGATGCCTGGGATTGTTTCTTTGCAGGTATAATAAAGTGAAATGCACAATTTCAGGGGAAACTCTTGCAAAAATTTTGTAGGACTCTCCCCTGAAATCTTGACCATATTGCGATAAATACCAAAAGATATGGGGACAAAAACATAAAAGCTCATATTAAATTCATGGCCATGCCATGAGAATTGTGGCTTATGTGTGTTTGACTAAATGATTGCTACTGTTACTTTTGGTTTTTTTTTTTTTTTTGATTAAAGGGGGAAAGGTTTCGAGGACAAAAAGGCGAAAGAACAGTGGGAACCCAATCTCACTCCACTTTCATTTCCTAGGCTAAGTCCAGTGAGGTAGTTGGCTTTACCACCTGCATAGTGAAACACCCTTTGATTGGAATTGTTCTCTATGTGTATTGCTTATTCTGTCTCAGCACTATTCAATATCAGTTTATTTTTAGTACTGCTAGTATTTAAAAAAAAGAAAAGAAAAGAAAAGAAAAGGACTGGTCATTACACTTTTTAACACAAGAGTAGAGAGAAGAAGGGGAAAAAGGCCAGGAGGGTGCTTAATTAAAGAATTAGAAGATTGAAAAGATTGTATCCGACCAATTGATTAAAACCAATTTGTTTTAGTGGTGGTAATTTTTGTCAATCACTTTCGTCAATAGGAACCCGGCATTATCCCTTAAAGCTATAGATTAGTATATTTAAATGCTTGTGTCAATTTTATCCATAAGGGGCAAGAGAAAATGTATATACGGTAGTCAATTCCCTACTCTCATACTTCAATTCAGTTGAGTTAGTTTCAAGTTAATGTGTGAAAAGGTTGGGGTTTTCAATCTCTAACATGTTGTTCAAACTCAAAAGGTCAAGAGTTAATTTAGCAAAATTTAATTACTTTTAATTGGTTTTTAATTAAAAATAATAAGTGTAATCACTGTTTTATAATACTAGCATTTAATATGTAAAAAAAAAATGACCCTACGTCCTAATTATAAAGCTTAAACTTACCTTGCCAGAAACTATACGATAAGGGTTCTTCCAAGTTAGAAGTGTTAGTTACAACAAGGGCTCTTCCAAGTTAGAAATGTTCGTGAATATAACTCACGAACTTGGACTAATTAAGATTGAAATTTAGACATTATTCTTTCGGCACCAATTCATTTTAATTCAAAAAAAATATAATATATTAAATAAAAAATATATTTTTAAAATTATAAATTTTAATTTTAAAAAAACTGGCCTTGATTTATGGTTCAAGATGTGAATCCGGTTTGGTGTGGCCACAAACATCGGTATTCCACGACAACGGGACCCATTACATGTATTACTGGTCATGGCTTCGTCAGCAAGGCTAAGGGCTAGATGAGAAACGTCGGTTTCATGGCCTAGACTGTGAGACCCCACAAACCCCGGACCCATATCAAATCAGATGCTTTCCCCGCGTGGCTTTCAGTGTCGTTGGCGCAAGCCAAATGACTTTGATAGCCAGTAAGATGCCAAAGAACGTGATATCTAAGAGGCATGTGTCTGACATTTTTTGGTTTGGTTAGAATTTTTTTTTAAATTAAAACATTCTCTTCAGAGAATTGATAAATAAAATTAAAATTAAGCAATAGATTTGATATTATAACAGCGTGTACCAGAAAACTAATGTGATAGGATAATCGGTAAATATTTTTTAAATTTATTTATTTACTTTATGTTATTTAAAATAGTAGCAAGAGCTTCTCACAATAATATTTTTATTTTGTAATTAGTAAATTCTGGTATTACGATATTTTGGTAATTGAGTAGTGATTTAAATGTCATGCCATGCATGTATTCAAACTTATATTAAAAAACGACTAGATAATTTAGAATAATCAATTCTAACAAGTTGTTGATCCAATTTAAATAAACTTTGTTAGATACGATTTTAGGTTTTAGATCCAATTCCAACGAATTTCTAAATCTGATTTGTACTTAAAGAAAGAAACGCAATTATTAGGATTTCCAGTCGTATCATATCTTGGTCGTAACTCCACGTGGGACAACATCCACGATCAAACCTGACGAAACCTTGTTCTCACATATACCAGGAATTATGTTAGAAAAAGAAAACCTTGAGTACTTCCTTTATCCCCGATAAATACGGTTTCGGCACAAAAAGAAAAAGGGGTTCTGTGTCTTTTTGGATACAAATACAAGAGGCCACGCCCAAAATCCAGCACCAAACAAGAATCTATACACCGATCTCACTCCACCTTTCTCTCCCAAAGCTAAGTCAAAGCGGGGTAGTTGGCTTTGCCACTTGCATGCAGAGACACAACGGCATAGTGAAACGCCCTTTGATTGGAATTGTTCTCCATTTATATTGCTTTTCTGTCCCAGCACTAATCAATATCAGTTTATTTTTACTACTATTAGTTTTGAAAAAAGAAAAAGAAAAGAAAAGAGAAAGACCTGGCATTACACTGTTTATATAAGAGTTGAGAGCAGATGGGGAAAACGCCAAAAGGGTGCTTAATTAAAGAATTAAGAAGATCGAAAAGATGGTATCAGAACAACTAATTAAACCAATTTCTTTTAGAATGAGTAATTTTTGTCAATCACTTCCGTCAATAGGAACCGGGCATTATCCCTTAAAGCTAAAGATTGGAACAAGAGAAAATGACATATGGTAGTCAATTCGCTACTTTCATCCTTCAATTCAGTTAAATTAGTTTCAAGTTAATGTTTGAAAAGGTTGGGGCATTCAATTTCTAGCATGTTATTCAAACTCAAAAGATCAAGAGTTAATTTTGCAAGATTTAATTACTTTTAAATGGTTTTTTAATTAAAAATAATTAATATAATATTAGTTTTTAATATGACAAAAAAAAGAATCCCTAAATATAAAGCTTAAACATACATTGTAAGAAAATATACAATAATTGTTCTTTCAAGTTAGAAGTGTTCGACGTTATTCATGAACTTGGATTAATTAAGATTGAAATTTAGACATTATTCTTTTGGCACCGATCCATTTTGATTTGAAAAAATATATATTATATATTAAATAAACAATATTTTTAATTTAAAAAGGCTGGCTGATTTAAGATTCATAATGTGAATCCAGTTTGGTGTGGCCACAAACATCGCTAATTCCACGGCAACATGGACCAATTACCTATGTAACTGCTTATGGCTTCGCCAGCAAGGCTAGGGGCTAGGGGCTAGGAGTGAAACGTCGGCTTCATGGCTAAGACTGTAGGTTCCCCCAACCAAATCATATCAAATGCCCTCTCAAGTTGCTTTCGGTACCGCTGGCACATGTCAAATGACTTTGATAATAATTTTGATTAAAATATTTTTTCTTGATTTTAATTTAAAATTAATATAATCAATTAATAATTTATTAAATTTATAAAATAATATATTTTTAAAAATATTTAAATTTCAATAGATATATAAAGTAATAATATTTTTATATATTAATATTATATATATTTGATTCAATTAAGAAATCTTTATAAAATATGATTCAAATATTATTTTTTTTAATTTATATTTTTTTAGATCTCATCTCTAATTTTTCTTTGAGTATTAAAAAACTTTGATGTGGTTAGTTCAGAGTATCCCTTGTGAATGAAAATTTTTAAAAATTTCTTTATATTACATATATTTTTTAATGAGCTCTAAAGTAAATTTTTATTAAATTATTAATACAATATGTTATATATATTTTAATAAGCTTCTAAAATAATTTTTTATTAAATTGTTAAGTCAAATAAAAAATAATAAAATAATTTTATAAATCTTTTTAACTTTACCCTAATCCTTAAATTTTTCTCTTTTAAGTTTCTTCGCACCACTTTCCATTTCTTTCATTTTGTTTTTCTTTTCTCTTTTATCCTTTCATTATAAAATTACAAAAAAGTAAACCTTTTTTTATCTTTCCTTTTCTATTTATATTATTATTATTATTTTTAATTCT